GCCACCGTAGGTTAAAGATTTACCTGCTTTATTTTATTTTATTGTTTTTAATACCTTTTGTGAAAATGAGACTGATTGGATGATTAGGGTGCAGTGTACATTAACACAAAAAATATATGACTAAAATGCACAAAGACACACAAATGGTTGTTATTTTTTTTTTCTCCTCTATACCCCTCGCGATCGACTTGGGACCAGTCCGCGATCTACCGGTCGATCGAATCGACGTAATGGGCACCCCTGCCTTAAGGCAGTGTTTTTCAAACCCTGTGCCGCGGCACACCAGTGAGATATTGTCAAGTGTTCCGTGGGAAATTATCCAACATGTATGCCTGTGCGGTCTATCGCCTGGCAGAGTGATCATGTAGTACCTTTCCATACCAGTAGGTAGCAGCAGCAGCATTTAGCTAATTGCCTTATGCTTCAAAACAAGCGAAGTTTCCGGCGCGAGGCAATACAACAAAGGGTATCTTTCATTTAGATTTACCGGAGATGCAACGGCACGACTCCGTTATGCTTGGTATGTGGTGAAACAGAGCTATGGTCCCAAGTAAGCTTAAACTCCGTCTCCAAACAAAACACCCTTCCCTTCGAAACAACAATGTGGAGTATTTTGTTCGCCTGCGTGAACACACGGAGAAACAAGCAACGTGCATGAGAAAAACCGCAAAGGTAAACGAGAGAGCCTTGGAAGTAAGTGGCTAAATCAAAAAAATGGCAGAGCAATTCATACTTTCCGCCTGCAAAGCCATTGTAAATGACATGTTCGGACCCGAAGTGGCTAAAGAAATAGCCTGACTGCTGTAAAAACTAAAAACATAGAAAGACTGAGAGCTGTGGAGAAGAGCTTCGTGTGTCTTTCATCGATTGCTGCCAGGATATCAGATCTATGTTCATCCAAACCATTTATCACACTGCGTGAGAATAAAGATGAAAGATTATAAAATATTGGATTGATCTTGATTAAAAATATATGACTAAAATGCACAAAGACACACAAATGGTTGTTATTTTTTTTTTCTCCTCTATACCCCTCGCGATCGACTTGGGACCAGTCCGCGATCTACCGGTCGATCGAATCGACGTAATGGGCACCCCTGCCTTAAGGCAGTGTTTTTCAAACCCTGTGCCGCGGCACACCAGTGAGATATTGTCAAGTGTTCCGTGGGAAATTATCCAACATGTATGCCTGTGCGGTCTATCGCCTGGCAGAGTGATCATGTAGTACCTTTCCATACCAGTAGGTAGCAGCAGCAGCATTTAGCTAATTGCCTTATGCTTCAAAACAAGCGAAGTTTCCGGCGCGAGGCAATACAACAAAGGGTATCTTTCATTTAGATTTACCGGAGATGCAACGGCACGACTCCGTTATGCTTGGTATGTGGTGAAACAGAGCTATGGTCCCAAGTAAGCTTAAACTCCGTCTCCAAACAAAACACCCTTCCCTTCGAAACAACAATGTGGAGTATTTTGTTCGCCTGCGTGAACACACGGAGAAACAAGCAACGTGCATGAGAAAAACCGCAAAGGTAAACGAGAGAGCCTTGGAAGTAAGTGGCTAAATCAAAAAAATGGCAGAGCAATTCATACTTTCCGCCTGCAAAGCCATTGTAAATGACATGTTCGGACCCGAAGTGGCTAAAGAAATAGCCTGACTGCTGTAAAAACTAAAAACATAGAAAGACTGAGAGCTGTGGAGAAGAGCTTCGTGTGTCTTTCATCGATTGCTGCCAGGATATCAGATCTATGTTCATCCAAACCATTTATCACACTGCGTGAGAATAAAGATGAAAGATTATAAAATATTGGATTGATCTTGATTTGACTCCTATTTAAGGTGTTATAATATAGCGTTATTATTCAATGTTAAAAAAACCCACTTATACTAACAATATACTACTTAATTGTTAAAATGAGCTTTTTTCACATTTTTAGCTAGTGGTGTGCCGCGGGATTTTTTTCAATGAAAGAAATGTGCCTTGGCTCGAAAAAGATTGAAAAACACTGCCTTAAGAAATTCAAGAGGAAAGATAATGATGGTTATATAGAGCAGCTGCTTGCTGGTGTCATATGCCGTGATTTACTTTTGATCTGATGAGTCAAATAAATCATCGCAACAACTGTTGGTGGTTAGCCGACTAGCCAAGCCATCGTTTGTGGCGGCCTTTAAATATTATAAAACAATATTGAATGTAAAATTAACCGAGCCGCTGGGGAGCAGTGCCCTCCCAAGCCCGGAGAAATGGGGAGGGTTGCGTCAGGGATGGCATCCGGCGTAAAACTTTTGCCAAGACGACCATGCGAGTTGGTAGGACGGTTTACAGGGGCGGATGGAAATTACTGACTCGCTGTGGCGACCCCTGAATAGGGACGTGCCGAAAGGAGAAGAAGAAGAAGAAGATTGAATGTAAAATTGGTAAGCGACGACCTGCATCTCGCTTTGCAATCAGAAATGCCTTTTTTGTTTTCAAAGATCATTTGATCTGACATTTATGATTTATGAGAACATTTTTAATTGGTCGCTACATTTGCCACATTGCAACACTGTTCACCTGTGATTTATGTAAATCGCAGTAAAAGTAGTTACCACCAATTGGCGACTCATTAAGCGTAGTTTTACAAACCCACAAATTCCCAGGCTGTTCAATGGTGTCACTCAATAAGCGAAAGTTTCACAGCATTGATTTTGCCATTTAACTTACTATTTGCAGCTTGGTCATCTTTCCAATGTCAGCCGGCAGGACTTCAAAGTCATTGTCACTCAGATATAGAGCGCGAAGAGTTGCTGCAATACAAGCATCACCGTTAATTGTCAAGTACAACTTTATTGAAGTGAGGGGGATTGCCAAAAATACAGTGGGAGGTCTTAAAATAAAATCCAATGAAAAAAAATGTCTACTGTTTATTTCAAGTTAAGTTTAATGTATGTTTATTTACAGGAAAGCCATGATTATTGTATCAAAATAACCATATCGAAATATCATATAGAAATCGCCTTTAACGTATCCAAGCGTATCGTTAAAAAAAAAAAAAAAAAAATTGCAATATATCCCTTTGTGTTGAAATGTTGGGCCTTACATGGATACATATTGTATTGGTCAAAAAACATATCATTACACCCCAAAAAAATACGGTGTCTCCTCGTGACATATGTTTGTGTTTGCGTGTGTATTCACTCACTGAGATAGAAGAAGTTTCCAGGCAGCGAATTTTGACTCAGGTTATTATAGGTGAGGTCCAAAACTTCAAGTGCTGGCAAAGAACCAAACCCTCTGGGTAAGTTGTAAAGGCGGTTCATTCTGTGCACAAAATTCAAACATTTTTTTTTTTTTTTTAAACTACACACATGCGCACTTAAAAAAAGAGAGGCGCTTACATGGTTGCGAGGCGTTTGTCCGGTGAGATGAAGGTTTTCAATTTGATTAGCGTGATCAAATGGAGCGCTGTTAACAGGCGCAGGCTCTAATAGAAAATCATTTGGCTGTGGCGCACACTCACTCACAGGAATGCCGCCGCCAGAGGGGCGAGGAGGCGGACGGTGCCTGTGAGAGGCGGGAG